GGGAATTAACGATGAATTGCACTGATGACCAAGGCAGTATGACCTCTAAAACGTTGGTTAACATTGACCAGACTACACAGCGCAACAACCCAGAAGACAGAAATCTTCATGATGGGAATTAACGATGAATTGCACTGATGACCAAGGCAGTATGACCTCTAAAACGTTGGTTAACATTGACCACACTATGCAGCGCAACAACCCAGGAGACAGAAATCATCAAAGATTCATTTAATTGATTATGTTACTTCAGGATACTCTCTTTGAGAGTCATATACTGAGTTCAATGATTCTGCTGTTGTAGGAAGTATACATTAAACTCTTTTTGAAATACTGTTCAAGTACATGTTGCAAATTTTGTTGACTCTCCGAAAGATCAATAAATCTCTCTCATTTGGACTTCAGTTACATTTTTGTAAAAAGAAACAGTTTGCAGGGAGAAAGATCTAGTGAGTAATGGGATGGTGGTCCACAGCACTTTTATTCGTGGTCATGAAATGTTGGACAGACAGGGCAGCGTAAATGGGGCTCTTTGTCATGATGAAGTGATCAATCTAAATTGATTGAAACTGTGCTGTTACAGGAGGAGTTGATGCTGAGCTTGTTGCGATGCTAACTTCTATGTCTGCGGCAGAACAGAAGTGGTTGATACGGATGTTGTTAAAGGACATGAAGTTGGGCTTGGGTCAGAGCCGTATTTTTCATATATATCATCCGGATGCCCTGGAGCTGTATGATGTTTCTAACAGTCTTCTTAAGGTATGTCATGAGTACTGCAACCTTTTTTCTTGTTAGCCTTACAAATGAAAGTAAAACTGTAATTAGTTGAGTTATTTAACATACCTATTCATATATTTTAATTCAAATGTAATTAAGGAACCCAAAAGTCAGTCTGTTAATAATTGAGGCAGGGATCACATTTATGCTCGTTACATAGGTACTGTTAAAAGAGTTTTTTATATTTGATATTTTGAAATTGGATACAGATTTTGTTTGCTGACACAGCATAGCAAAAAGCTAATTTGTAATAAGTTCATGTCTGTTTAATATGAGCTACAGATTCATAATTAATTAATTTTTAAGTGGTAATTATGCTGACATAACCATGTGTTAAATTTTGTATGTTGTACAGTTGTCTGGAAAGATCAGATCTGCACTACTGTTAACCTGATGAATTTAATCTTGTGACCACTGTTAAATAAGGATCTCAAAACAACAAACTTCGTACAATCTGATGTATCAGTAAGAAATGTCAGTATTTGATGAAATCTAGTGTTAGTGGCCCTTATTAAACTTTGTTTACAAATCTTAATTATAATCTATATTGTATAATTTAAATTACATCTTCATGTATTATGTACGTATTTGTACAGAAAAACTTTTCTTGTATATTGTAATGCAGCAAAAATATCAAATGTGCACTTTCGAAGGGTAAAGAAGAGTGAAATATAGACATAGTTTTTAAATTAAGATCCTCTTTAAAAACAAAGTTCAAGTTCATTTCATTCAAACAATATAGATTTATATACATCCTCCTTAATTCTTACATACATTTAACCCATTCATTCTGGGTCAGTCAGATTGACATGTCTGCATTTTACATCCTTGTAACCTCAGAGGTTTACCTGTGCATGTGGTATATGTATTTCAGGTGTGCCAGCTGCTACGCGATCCAAACATCCGTTTGCATGAAGTGGAAGTTTCATTGTTCTCACCATTTCGACCAATGCTAGCAGAACGTTGTAATGTGCAAACTATAGAAGAATCTATGAAGAAAAGTCAGTTTTATTATGTAGAAACTAAATATGATGGTGAAAGGTTCCAGTTGCATATGGAAAATGGAGTCTTCAAGTATTTCTCCCGGTTAGACATTATGTACACAACAACTTAGTTACATTCTCTATTCATTGTGACAAAGAAAGTGGTTCTTGAAAAACATCAAAATGGAATTTGTATTTGTCACTGGCAGGAAAGCAGATCTAGTCTTTTAAAAATTCTTCTCTCGTGTGCATATGTTTTCTTTTGTAAATCTTTAAAATGGGAACCTACTTACAGAACAAAAGTTGTATTTTGCAGGAATGGTTATGAGTATACAGATGTGTATGTCACACTCCTGACATCTCATGTTTCAAAATTACTGCGAGCTGATACAAAGAATTGCATACTGGATGGAGAAATGATGGGCTGGAACAAAAATTTGAAATGCTATAAATATAAAGGTAAGAGGAGAATAATCTTAATGTCAGTAATAGCCTGAACTATGCTCTGTTCCTGTTTATGGTCCTATGATTGCAGAAAGAGTTATACATATTCACTGTTTTGCGTCTTGAGTGCATATACCCCATATAACCTTCTCTGCCGTGAATTACATTGCTGAATGTTACACTTTCCATGATGCTAATACAAAAAATTACTCTTACAGCTTTGGTGGTTTTCCTTTGACAGCCAGTTTTAAAATTGGGTCTACATTCTTCCCACATTTTGATGATAAAGAATGTTGCCATTAGAGTATCCAGAAAATTGCATGATTAAAGATTATGTAACTAGCATTGAAAGCCGATACATTTACTAGCATACATGCTTTCATGTAAGGATACAGGTAATTTAAGTGGTGAGTCCTGATTTGTTCCTTGGACATATAACTCACTTGTCTTTCTTTAATCCTTTTGCTGCAGTATTTGACTGAAGTTGAACAAGCAATTATGACTACAGTGCAACATTCAACTTTAGTCCACATCGAGAAATAATTATCTTTTGCTGTGATATTCAATTTCATTCCATGAGCTAAGAAAATGCATTTTTTGTTGATCTACATAATACAGGGTGCGGCAGTGGAATGTGACGGTTTTCAGAGCGCTATTGTGGCAAACTCGGGTCGAATTAAAAAAAACACTTTCACTTGATAAACAGCAGTACAATGCAATTTATTAATCTCTGCTTATTTCTTAATAATAACATTTGTCAAGTGGCCTACATGACAATGAATACATTCTTGTAATCTAGACCGGAAATTGCCCATAACTAGTCGCAATAAAGCAGCATCAATTGCTCGAATTTCTTCGGTGATGCATTGTTTCAACTCCATACACTCTAGACTTCAAATATCCCCATAGGAAGTAATCGGCAGCCGTTAGATCAGGGGACCTAGGCGGACAGGCGATGTCTCCAAATCGGGAAATGATGTGTCTGGAAAACATGGCTCGCAACCTGTTCATCAATTCATGAGCTGTGTGCACTTTGCACAAATTTAATTTTGTGAAATTTGAGGTTCTCGTGCAGAATATGGTGAACACTCCTGTCCGATAGGTGTAATGCAGCTGATTGATGTCTAGCAGAATGAGTTGGACTCTGCTGCACTGCTTCCCTAACCCTGGCAAAGTTCTCTGGTGTGCGGACTGTTCATGCACTACCAGAAAAACGATCACAAACACTGCGGGTGTTCCTGAAGTTTTCCACCCACCTCAAAATAATGTTACGGGTAGGAATTCTTTCATGCTGTACGACATTAAATGCACGCCTAAATCTTCTCTGGGTCTTGAATACCGATTTGCATTCAATAAATGCTGTTACCGTGAATACGCGTTCCGCCACCGACCAGTTAGCCATACTGTCTCTCACCACACTGGCAGAAGAAACTGAATCCCTTGGCGGTCACATAGACACACACACTTCCCCCAACACTCAATACCGCTAGCTGCAGCAGCACTCTGAAAACTGTCACATTCCACTGCCGCACCCTATATAACAAAAAAAAAAATTCTTTCAATGTGAAAGTAGTAATCGATGAACCATCACCACCATCTGTGATATGTTTACAACGGCAAGCTTTAAAAAATTACTCATACGATTTGATTCTGTCACCACCTGTGTACAATTCCTTGAGCCAAATAGCATTTTATTGTTTTATTATAGACATAAATTTCCTAAATATGAAATTCAATAAAAGATCTTCAGAACTGGACATTTGTAAATTTGGAAAGTTGACTTTATGAGTTCTGCCCAGAAATCCTAGTTATGTTTTGCAAACCATTTCTACACACATTGAAGAATAGGGGAAAGGAAAAAAATAATTCTGCAAGGTTATTTTTTAAGTTCAATGTGAAAAGGAATGACAGCTTTACATCTGTTCTAGGTACCAATTTTGATGTCAAGTGCTTAAAGGAAGGGGACTGCATTCGTCCATGTTTGTGTGTGTTTGATGTCTTGTTGTATAATGGTCAAGTACTCACCAACAAGCCACTGTCTGAGCGACTCCATTATCTAAAGAATCTCTTCACACCTTCTGAGGGGATCTTCATGCATGCAGAACGCAAGGAAGTAACAACTGGGCAAGAAGTAATACATGAACTAAACCTGGCAATTGATAACAGGTTAGAAGGAATTGTACTGAAGGATCCAACATCAATTTACAAACCTAACATGAGGAAAGGAGGCTGGTATAAAATCAAACCTGAGGTAAATCATCCTCTTTATGGTAGTGAGTTGAGGTCTTATATTTTAACCAAACTTATGCTTCTACAAAATATTATAGTTTGTCTGTAACCCTTTAATAAGCGTGATCACAGTACTTGTCTTATAACTTTCAACAAATCTGACATGTCTGAAAACATTGCTAGAAGTTATTTTGCAAAAGTAATTTTAGTACTGTTACATTATTTATCTGAATGTCAAGTAATTCTTCAAGTGACACATTCAGGGAGCTTCATAGTTCTGGAAATCCAAAAAAACTTTACATAGGGCCAAATCAGATAAATGTGGTGGATATTCAAACAGTATTTTTGGGCCACAAATCACTTTACCAAATGTGCTTTTGGGAAGGTGCAACCCAGAAGATGGACATATCTGAATGTACTCCTGTGAGAATCTCAAATCCTACAGTGAGATTATTAGTCTTTTCTTATATGGTCATTACTATTTTAAAATCAATTTAGTGATATCCTTGAAACTCTGTATAAAATTCATGCCACAGGGTATGATACCAAGGAAACACATTTAAACTCCTAATGGAATAAACGTTCCCTGAATTTTAGGTGAGATACACCATTTACCATGCAGAAAATTTGGTCAGTAGCATAATTTGTTGCATATGGAAAGTAATGTTATAGCCATGTATCTGAAGGATTTACTTCCCAGCTTTGAGCCCTTTTTAGCATAAAGTAAATCCTGTTTTGAGTGGAAACTACTGCATTGAAGTAAAAGATGTTGAGCATTTTCACATAAGTTACATATAAGGAAAGCTGAGAAAAGTCTTTAATCATTGTAAATACATTTGTGTCTCTTTCGTTCATTAATTTGTGGTTATCTTTTATTAGTACACGGAAGGTTTAATGGACCATCTGGACCTTATTATTATGGGTGGTTACTTTGGAGAAGGGCGGAGGAAGGGTATTAGTCATTTTCTTGTTGGAGCTGCTGTGCCGCCACCTATTGAAGGTATGTGTGTATGTGTGTGTGTGCAAATATATATATATAAAATGTTTTATTGGGAAACTAGGATTTTTAACCATTTAAAGCCAAATGGCAACTATGTGTCTAATGTATGTCATTCTCAGAATAAACCAATTATTTCCATAAATAGCATTCACCATCTGATCTTTGTGATGGTGCTTAATTATGTTATGTTTTTGGTACAGACTTAATTCTTAAATTTTATTTAGATGAGTTTCAGCATCAAAGGGTTAACTGTGATAATTATTTTGGACATTGTCCTTGGGCAGTGGACAATGTCCAAAGTAATTTTCATATTTATGACAACACACCATCATAAAAAACACTTCGACTTAACTTGTAGGGTTTTATAATGCCTCTTCAATTCAGCTGGGATACTTTTAATGCAGATATGGAACCAGTGGAGTTTCATTCTGTCGCACGTGTGGGCTCAGGCTACTCTGCGGATGAGTTATCAGAACTACTACAGAAGCTGTCACTTCACTGGCAGCGTGTGACTCCAGGTCAGTGTCCACCTGCTCTTGTATGGACCAAAGAAAAGCCAGATGTATGGATTGCTCCACAAAATTCTTATATACTGGAGGTACATATAATTTAATTTATTTTTATATTGTGTAAGGACATGATAGAAATATGTATAAAATATGTGACATGATGTGATTTTGAATAATGAATGTTAGCAAGTAATAGATAATGAAATGGTATTACCTTCATTAACATTTGTGAAAGTACTTAATAAATTATACTTCATTTTGTATCTGTGTATGTTTAAGTATGTGTGGGTGTTGCCACATTTTTTATTGATTTTCAAATACAATATTAGATTGTGGAGGGCATTTATTGTATAACTCAGGTATACAGAAGTTCAAATTAGGAATCAGTTTAAGTTAACAAACTACAAATAAGATAGGTGTTTTTAATATTATAAATCTAAAGTTCATTCAAAACAAGAAAATTATATAAAAGTTCCGTTACATAACTCACTCTGTCACACATTACCAGGAGAGTGAATAAGCTAGCTTGTTGAATGATACAGATATACATTGTAATGTTTTATGTGTTAATATGGGTTTGATTTATGGTGGAGTTGAAATGAGGTATATTTTCATGGTAATATAGCTTATCTGAAGTTCTTCAGTAGTTATCATATTTTCTATAATTTTCAGGTTAAAGCATCCGAGATCGTACAGAGCTCTTCATACAAAGTTGACTATACACTTCGATTTCCTCGTGTCGAAACTATCCGCTATGACAAAAAGTGGTCTGACTGCATGACTATCATAGATTTTGACAGTTTAAGGAAGGTAATGTTGAATTGGCTACTAATGTTTATCACGTAGGTGTCAGTAATGAGATTTTCTAAATATTAGCTCAAAAATGTTTAATTACAACACCAAGGCCTCATTATTAAGTGGTTTTCTTTAGCTTACGCCTCTTTGTTATAATACAGCTTTTTCTTGGAGCTCCGAATTTGGCTACTGGCTTTGTACTTCTCAAAAGATTTTTCTTATTATGTAATCGTATTCTTGCCAAGTGCCTTTTGACTGCTTGATGGCAGGGCTTCATTCCTGATTTGAATTGAATTTCCATGGCCGTTTATTATTATAGAATCACTTCTGCAAAGCTAAAATGCTTACTATCAGCAAGAAGAATGTATAGTAAACACTTCCTAGAGATGCACATAGGCTAGACATGGGCAAAGACTGCTCTCAGTACCTTATGAAGTATCTTTACCATTGCTTGTGGCATTAGTGCATATGATGACCATGAACACAGCTAGATACATGAATTGGAACATGCAAAAACTGTTTTTTAAATGCTGTACAGAGGGCTGAAACTTGTGTAGGGATTAAAATATTGTGCATAAACTGCAAGTAAACTCTTAAATAAAAAAAATACTTTATCAAGGAAACTATGTGTGAGTTTTGTCTTGTCTGGGACTGAAAAATACCTTCTGTGAAGTATGTGAACCTTAAATTGGAGCTTATCTGTGTTTATGTGTATGTATTTTGAAATTTCTCAGTGTAATCAGTTTTCATGTAATGTACAACACTGTACTTGTGACAGCAGATTGTATAGGTAGAAAATATGTCAAAACAGTTTATTCTGCCAGTAAGTTGCATGCCTTAATAAGTCTGCTTTTAGATTGTTGTTTGTAATATTTTGTTATATTCCTCTCAATGTGTGCAACTGTATTTATGGCTTTTGATGGTTGTAAAAAGTAATGTATTGTACAAGTTTGGTGGACTAATAAATGGCAACCACATTTTTTATGATAGGCAAAGAAATCTGACTGCTGTACTCATGCTGATGTGATAACTAAATTCTTCTTTCTTTATCTCCTATCACTCTTTTTCCAGAGCATAGGGCCTCCTTTCAGAGGTTTCCTTGGTCTTTTGTTAACTAAATTGCCACTATCATACTTTTATCTCAAGGTGTGATGTGTAAACCTGTTGATGTAATAAAATTACCGCCATCTTACTGTATTAACTCCCCATCTTCCTTTGATGATGCAGCTCAGAGCTCATTGTCAGATTATAAAGCTAGCCCAGGGTCATACAAAAGTTTGACTTTGCTTGGTTTAAACTCCTGTAAGATGGTGCCAGTAATACTTTCTCTAGCTCTTTAGGTTTATGTTATGTAAATGTTGATTTTGATGATTACAGGAGGCATCTGGGAAACTGTACTCTAGACATGTTGATGCCAGTGATCAGTTGTCAGAATCACCGAAAAAGAAGGTACGGCAACTGAAGAAAATACCCATTACCTTAGGTGAACAGTTTTGTGGTATTGACGTATCTGAAGTCAATGTGACATCGAACTCGTTAGAAGCAAAGGTGTTTTGTGTGTTAACTGGCTGTCAAGATCATACAAAACAAGACATAGAGACCAAAATCATACAGAACGGAGGCACAGTTGTGCAAAACACAGGTAATTTTGTGTTTGAATGTCTTTGTAATAAAAAATAATGTTATGTGCTCTTGGAAACTGAAGTCAGAAATTGTGCATGTTCTTTATGCGTACAAATTAATGGCGTGCCAGTGAACTTCTGGGCAGTATGAAAGGACATCCATGTACCTGTGCATGTTAAGTAAAACCCACCTAAGTACTATATCCTAGAATCATGCCTACAAATATATTTTTATTTTCATATATGTTTAGGACATAACACATTCTGTGCTCTGGCTGGAGACTCCACACTTCGTGTGCGCAACATTGCTAAGAGTGGACAGTGCAGTGTTGCCCGTGTAGACTGGCTTCTGCGCTCAATAGCTGCTAATATGTTATTGCCCTGGACTCCTGCTGACCTTTTATATGCAACACCAACAGTAAGCGAACAGCTCTCTGTTGAATTTGATAAGTTTGGAGACAGCTACACGCAACCGCTGACTGAAGAGTCACTGAAGTATGTTCTTGAACAAGTTGAAAAAAGTGTAAGTAGTAGTAGATTTCAATAACTTTTGTGTTTCTCAAGTTCATTCTTTTATAAAACCCATTTGACCTCAGTAAATATTGGCTAGAACCCCCAAAACAAAATTTAAAAGCCTCATATGAAACTGGGATTGGATATACTGTTCACGACTAATCTTGAGACTTGCGGGGTGAAGGAGGAAGGAGGAAAGATAGCGTCTGCCTTTAACGCTTCGGACTTCCTGCATTCCTTGCAAGTCTCAAGATTACAGTCGTGAATAGTACCAGATCATGGACAGTACATGAGAGAGAACAAAATGAATCAAAATTGAAGAATTTTTCTATAATGAGTCTGAAATTAATGAAAAAATTATGTTTTTAACACAAGTTTTTCAGCAACCTGTTTGTGTGATTAGCTGTCTGTGTCTCTTCACCTCCTACCTTTTAATCTGAGCATTAGCCCAATTTTTGTTGTAACTTTGAGTGCATATAGGTAAGTAGTCAGTCTTACTGTACAGGTATATGGGATTTAAACCCCCATACTGTGGGGCTGCTGGCTCGAACTTACTTCTGAGGTTAACAGTTTGGCTGTATGCTACTGTGACACAAGGGTAGTTTGATCATGTGTAGTTCACAGTACTTGGTTGATAAAGGTAATGTGTGATGTTACTTTTTTCTATCCCTCAAATTTCCAAATTTAATGACTCAGAGACCAGGATCTTTATTTTATATTATTTCATTTATGATATATCTTTATCTTCAGTTGTTTGTTATAAAATTCACATCTAGAAATGTTAGATATTTCACAGCTATAAAAATTGACACATTTTTGTGGTTGTTGGTCTTATAGGTTGTAAGACTCTGTGGACTTGTAGATAGATATCCAATCTTTAGAGAAACAGGCTGCCTCCATTTTCGTGGTGTTTCAACACAGAAGACTAATGCTGATGTCTTTACCACTGTAACAACCAAAAATCTCAGACACAGTTTTGTTCATCTTGATCATGTGAATGTTACTGGTTGATTACAGAAAATGTAATGTTATGTTCCTATGTACTATAACAAGAAGGTGGTGGATGCATTGCCTTGTCTACATATACGATGTAACTTATGGTAATTCTGATTCTTTCAACAGGGTTGTGTTATGGACCTTACTGAAGAAATGTTAGCAGATCTTGAAATAGAACTGTTTCGTGGACCCAGTCCTTATGGCCTCTTCCGTTTGTGTCGGTCATATGTGGACAAATACTTCACGGTAGGTACAGTAATTTCTTGTGAAATATGTGGGAAACTTTGTCAAATCATGTTTGACAAACTGAAACATGCACCATAGTGCTACTCAGCACGATTACAAAAATAATCAAAAAGTTCACATATAATACACTCTCAGTTATCTGCTTTGTGCATTAATCACTGAAATTTTGGTTTTCTATATTATGTCATTACAATCTGTTATAACTTGCAGTCAATCATGAACAGTCGTGAAAGTATGAATCTAGCATTGCACGTGCCTCCAAATTTGTGTCGTAATATTTGCTAAAAACAGAATTTGAAAAACTGACTGCCTTTATATTTACCGGACATGTTGTTCATGACTATTTTCTGTCCCTAAACTTAAAAAGATCTTGAAAGGCAAAATATTTGAAGGTGCAAAAACAAGTGAATAATGCAATCGAAAAGTTGTTGGCAATTTCAACAGTGGCATGAATGCTGAAACGAGTGTGTATATGCTGAAGAAGCCTGCTTTGAAATGGATTAACCTACCATTGAAGTGCAGTATCATAGTTGTCACAGATTATCTTCATTCTTTATGACTCGGTCTCATAGTCATTGAGAAAAGTTATTAGCAGACTGATTCACTACATTTCACTTCTTGGAAATTATTTAGAATGTTGGGTAGTCACATAAAGCAATTTTATTAATTTTTTTTTTCATTTAGATTGGCAAATTTTGTAATTTGATTTCAATTGAAAATAAGAGGAGAGAATGTCTATTAAATTTAGGGCACAAGTATAACAGACAAGAATACAGAACATCTTCCAGGTGAACTCATGTGCTTTTTAAGCCTAATCCCCCCTTAATTTTTTAATGCAAAGTTGGTACCATACTAAACAATGTCCCCTTTTTTATGTTTCAGTTAAATGATCCTTTGTCAGGTGAAAGCAAAGAGTTGGATATTGTGGAACTTGACTTTAGTTTCTATGGAGGTCAGGTTTTTTCACATATAGATGAGCAGACTACCCATGTGATTATACATTCTCAGTGAGTATAATAGTGAATAAATTACTTTCCATTTAAATGCAATAACAGTAACCTCCAACAGACCTTTAAAATGTTTTCATTAATAAATTGTCACTAAAATAATTATTGCAAACATTATAGCAGACCTTGTGCATTATTGTTATGTATCAGTACTGTATACCAGGATGGTACCGTGTAGTCAGCACAACTCTGGTGTTGTTGAAACTTTGTGATAGAATGCTAAACAAATAGGTTCAGGTACAGTAAAATCCCCGTTTATAGTTCTTCTGTCATATAAATAGCGACAAAGGAGAACCTTAAGATTACTAATGATTTTGGATCCTTCATTGGCCCCTCAATCAGAACCTCTCACCCTCACAAGAACACAAAGAATAGAATTTCCAAAGCAACCCTTCGTAAGTACCCAGTGGTACTGTTTGCGGCCAGGTTTTTGTCCTGACAGCTGAACACAGGAAAATAACCCATGAGTAATGAACGGTCTGAAGACAGCAGAAGCCCCTGAAGCTAGTACCATTTGCCAGGCTTCTTTAAGGCCAGACATTTGGAGATGGCAGTATCATATTCATAATAATTTTTTATTTTGTGAATAAATTACTTTGTGTAGGCTTCTGTTTATTTATGCAATTTTTTATATTACAGCTATTTGTTTTTAATTTCTAAGGGGAACTCAAGTTTTGTTGCTTCTCAGGTCAAAGGATAGACTTGATGAGATTAAACGTATCAACCGAGCCAGAGTATGCAAGTTCTACATTGTCACTGAGCAGTGGGTTCAGAAGACAGTTGAAATGAAGAACAGACAAAAGGAGAATGATTACTCATTGTAATGGTAAGCCAGTCACATTTTTTAAATACTTATTTGTAATTTATACATGGGCTGTTCCAAATTGGCAACATTATAGGAAACCCATTTAAAAAATAACCATATTTGTACAATTATAAAACTACTTTTCTAGTGTTACCATTTTCTGGAAATTAGAAAATTACTTTCTATATCTTAAGGCTCCAATTACACATTTTTTATAATGTGTCTCAGTTACGTATTGCATTTTTGCTTTCCTCCACGTTTCCTAGTTTTTCATCTAACTTTGATAAACATTCTTAATTAGCTCTTGTTCGTTCTAATAGGTGAGCTTTGATCACTTTTTTGCGTATTAATTTTCCTCTGCCATCTGATTTTTATTCTAATAAATAATGTGTTTCTGTATCATATTGTCTGAGTGCTCAAACACCTTCAATTCCTGGTAATACCACCATTTTCTGATTTTCCAATATATAATCAGCTGCTGATAAAGAAAATTGATTTCAGGTGTCTTAAGGATTGCAATAGTAGGTTTATATTAAAATGGTGATGAACTTGTTCAGTAGAAGTTTGTATGGATAAGATGGAACTAGGTGATGCCTTCCCAGAATACTTTAGTTTTCCGCTGCCTTATCATTTCATGTACCACGCTCATTAATCGCCTTTATTGAGATATATGAGTAGTTAGTATTCATGTTTTATACTCGGGTTCAGATGTTGATGCAGAGGCTGGCTATCCTGATTAAGATGTTCATGTTTTTCCTCAGTTCCTCCATGCAAATGCCATAATAGTACCTGAAATTATTCTGAATTCTGATAAAAATGGAATGTAAACTTCAAGATGTCCATTGAGTCAAGGTAAATGTTGATATTAAATAGGGATTCTTAAGATATTTCATTGTATACAGGTGTTTTTATAATTTCAGATATCTTTAACTTCAATAAATTAGATTATGATTGTTTCCTTCCATAACCTTTCTGATTCATTATTCTTTAATATTGGTGTTATTTAACACTGTATATTCTGAAATATTCATGGGTCTGATGAGCCAGCACATTACAAGAAGTTTTTATATAGTCTTTAGTTCGGTTTATACTTCTGACCTACTACTTGGGTACACTCTAAGTAAAGATGTTGACTTTGTTTTTACAAAGGTCTTCCTTCTACATAACAGAGAAAAATATGGTATTTTCTTTTCACAGAATAAAGCTGAAACACTGTTTATAACAAGTTTATTGACAGAAAATTTGTCTTCTCTTTGCTGAACACGTAAATTAGTGCACATGATGATTTCTCTTCTATTTGAAAATATGTAATCAATTGACAGATTAAAGATCTTTAAATTTCTTAAGTGCTCAAGTACCTGTCAGGAAGGAAGGACAGGTGGAAAAATCTTTATGGATGACTGTATAAAAGTAGGATTGTGTGTTGCAACCATAATAGGTGGGTTCTTGATCACATTTTACTACTCACTACAGTCAAAGTATACAGTTTTTCTAAATAAGTAAAGTTTGTTTCTACCTTCTACTAACACAGTGATTAACATACATTAATATAACATATAATATGTACAAATCAATGTGTATATATGCATATCTGTGCCCGAGAATGTGTGAGATGTAATGAAATATAAAACATTTATTCCTGAATTGACACATTTAGGACAATATGCCAGAATGCCAGAAAAGTGAAATAATTTTATACTTACTAGATATATAAAAGGAAGAAATTAGTTTGCAGGTAGCATTGTTTGGAAGGATAATGTGTAATATGCAGTTAACACATGTCTTACAAAATAATTTACATTTTGTAAGATCTTATCACTTCCATATTAATGTAGAATTTAATTGAGGCTGTTTCATTGAAACATTGATATTTTCTCCTGAAATGAGATACAGGTGTAACTAGTCAGGTGACATTCTTGTTGTATGCATGCATGCACGAACGCACAATCTTGTAATTATGATGCACAGATACCCATACTTGGATACAAAAATAAATATAACTGACATTTCACTTATAAACTTGCTAAAAATGAGGGCCAGCCATTTAACGGTTATTCTGATGACTTATATGGTTTACCAGTACGGAATTTTTAAAAAAAGTTCCCTAACTTTGTTAAAAATGGTTAAATTTAAAATCAGAAATGGGCTTTTAAATAAAGTATGTAAACAAAACTAAAAATTAAAGGGTTTTGGTATGACAATGTTTCTTATCATTGGTTATATCAAGATGACAGCTTCTTCATGCAGGATAGTCTATATCATCAACCAGCCTGGTTCTTAATCTTTGACGGTCACCGTTGAGGTTTCCCCATTCCTGTAAAAACAAGAAGAATGAAACAAAGTCCTGTACTTATAAATAATACAGAATTATGTTGGAGTTTAATTATAACGTAATGAAGTATAATGACAGTAATGTGACTGACATTTCAGAGGTGCATGCATTCTGCATCATCAGGGGTGATCATCGCCCTGATGGTGGAGGCACCTCTGAAGCCTTCTTCATACTTCCCACTGTGAGATCCTCAGATCTCACTTATTTTTTAATATGGTGAATTTTTAATTAATTATAAAGAAACTATTATCTCACCCCAATTTGGTTTTCCCTTGTAAGATTACTTTTCCACCATACATCTGAAACTACAATAATTCAATATCATTGAAATTATGTATAGTGTAGTGTAATTTTGTACTAATATAGATTATTAATATTATACTACAATTTTAGTTGCATGTGCTTTGCAGATAACAGAATGAGCAGCATTAAGATAACTACCATAATCTTACTTTTAAGAAGTGCTCAATAGATGGTGATAAACACTTGGAGCACATAATTTGTCCCACTCCATCTTGGTTTGCAACGCATCCACATTTCTGGCACTGAGAAGGTTTGGCAGTCAGTGTGACTCGCCTGGCCCACACATCAGTGAACTTCTTGACATTGAATCTGTGTGTACCCTTGACTTTTTGTAAGAGATAATCCATGTTGAAGAGTGTCCCATTGGTTTCAAATGCCAGAGGAGTACACAAATCCTTTGGCATTACAACCTATAAAGCAAGATAACAATTACAACTTTTAGGACAACTTCATCATAACAAAACTGTATGACACTATACTACATTTATTGTAATACAATAATCCAAAATTACGTAAGTGTAGGTGTTTTAATATGTAATTTACATGAATGTACAAATTTCAAAGATGATCAATATAAGATGTTATATGACATCTCTTAAATACTGTGTAATGTTCATATTGCAATGTCTTTTTAAAGAAGTACTACTGCCACTAATATTTATCAATTTAAAATTTTGTTCTTCTCATTAATTATGAAACAATTTTACAAGTATACAATGTCCTGTTCATGCTGTAAACTGTTTGTGATAGGAAGATTCTTACAGAATTTTTGAAGAATTAAATATGGCTTATGGAGGAGTCACATCTACTCAATTACCTGCTTATTTTTCTCTAAAGTATCATGATATATTCAAAAAAATTAAGTGTGGGAGATATGTGTTGAACATTGAAAGCTTATATTCATTTTGGTGCTTCAGAATCCCTGTTGCATATAAGAGCATCAGTGTTTTTCTTTGAATGATCAAAATAACCAAATAAAATCCTTTGCATAATAGTTAATTTTACAAAGTGATCATATATTTTTTTGTGATCTGTTCAGAAATTTGATTAAATTTTATTTCACTGCATGAAGTTACTCAAAGTATATCTTTTCAATCAGATGTTATTTAATTTAGTTTGAAGTAATATTAAGATTATTAGTAATTTCCTCTCCTTCTGAGTGTGACTATGAAGAATTTCAGAACTTAAACACTGAAAAATTGGCTGACAGCTGTGATTTTTTAAACTATTCAGAAGTATAATTTTGAACTTCTGTTATGTTACAATTTATGTAGTCAACAGAACATTTATACACAGAACATGGAGGTAAAAACTAAACAATGCGTATTCATCGCTGATATTTGAAATTAAATGATGATTACATATTTTGAAATGGTACATTACCTGTCTCAATAGTGGAAAGCTTGGCATGAGGTTTTTCAAATTATGTCCACTGAATGCCCCATTCAGGTCCACACCATACACCTTGCTGGCCTTGCTCTGTCCAGAATGAAATCTGAGAACATGTGGGTGAAGTATATGCAGTGTGATGTCATTTTCCATCAGCATGTTGAGCATGTTGCTGTACTTATCCTCTGCCTCTTGGCATAATGTGCATTGTAGCAGCACTATAGTCTTTGAAGCTGTTGCTCTGAATGGCAAGAGAGCGGCATGCCACAAAGCACTGAATGTACTTGGGTTCCCTGAACTAGCACTCTTTGATGTGGCACTCTTCATGCTGAAAGAAACATAGCTTGTCACTTTATTTACTTCCTCATTTCTTGAGTATTTTACTGCTTTCTACATTTTACGTTCTTTGCACGAAGTGAATAAATGAATACATAATTGTATAATTATGTCTGTCCATATGGCTTATCTCCATAACTGCTGAATGGATTTCTCTGTAAAGGGGCCATACTGTAAAACTGTGGATAAAATAGGGGTAAAAAAGATCTAAAGAACAATAACAGGATGTTTGTAGCTCAGGTGGGGGGGGGGGGAACTGTGTCCATTAACTTGCATAAATAGCAAGTCCTCTTCAATTTAAAAAATGTCATAACAAGTGCCATCATGTTTGATACACTGCAGTGATCATAAGGAAGCATGTCATGCAATGCCCCATGAAGACGGAATGTAAGACTGTCATAATTTGGGTATTCAACTAGAATGTGTATGAAATGGTAGGGGCTGCACCGCACAAATAAACATTAATGGAAGAAAAGGAAGATCATTGTTGAAGATGGCTGTCTTCTGGGTTGTACCATGTAATGTGATAGAAATTAACTGGCATTTCAGAGGTTCTTTCTGCTTCTATTACATTGGTGAACTTACCAGATTACATGGTGCAATAACCTAGAAGACGGTAATCTTCATATTTGTCACCATGAGAACATGAAATCTCACTAAGGTAGTTGTTACAGCAGTTTGACACACAAACAGATAAGGCATCCTTCACTTACACCATAAAATAAGGAATACCTAATAATAGTAATATGAAAATTTGGAATATAGAACTATAGTAAAGCATAGTACAGTAGTATTGTCTTACCTCTTTAGGGTTTTCTCAGTTTCTTTTAGAGTTGCCCATATCTCTCCATTAGATGTATGTGTATGAGGTTCACTGAATTTCTTCCCATTGAAGCCCACAACAGAGAAACGGGTATTTAGTCCCTTAAATCTCATTGCATTATCCAGCTTTGACGCCAGCTCAACCAAGTTTATTTTCTTTATGCAAGGAGACTGGTCCACAACAAACACAATGTCAGCCAGCATGGCTTCTACTCCATCATACACTTCCACTTCACTGACATTCATCGTGCTGCTATTAAGAGTTGGACAGTGCACTGTGAGACAATTCAGAAACAGTTCACAATCATTTGCCTGGACCAAATTTCAGTATAACATGAAGACCACAGACTTAGACAGAAGGGATTTAAATATTATCGCCAATCATTATTGGAATCAATCAGCTGAAGTCAGGGTAAATGCAATAACATCAAAAAAGGTGTTCGCCAAGGCTGTGTTCTGTCACCGCTTCTGTTCAACATCTATCCAGAAGCAATATTCAGAGAGGCACTCGAAACATCAAGTGGAATCAAGGTGAATGGAAAGACAATTAATAACTTAAGATATGCAGACGACACGGTCATCATAGCAAGCAGTCCTGCTGAGTTACAGCAAATGATTGACAGCATTGTGCAATACAGTGAAAGGTTTGGTTTATATATGAACACATCCAAGACCAAAGCAATGGTATTCTCAAAATTACCGAGAAATATAGCCCTAAGAATCAATGGCAACATTGTCGAAAAAGTGACTTCTCTTAAATATCTGGACACCATAGTGAACCAGAACTGTGACATCAAAAAAGAAATAAGATCAAGAATCGAACAAGCCAGAAAAACCTTCGTTGACATGAGGAGGTTCTTCGTTAGATCCGAACTAATTCTAGAACTGAGGATTCGAATGCTGAGATGTTATGTGTTCTCTACACTTCTCTATGGATGCAAGAGCTGGACTCTTGATTCTCCCATGGAGAAAAGAATCGAAGCATTCAAAATGTATTTATATCGACGTATACTATGAATACCCTGGGTGCAAAAAATCTCAAACATTGAAGTTCTCAACCGCATGATTAAGAAAAAGGAACTACTGCTTGCCGTTAAGGAAAGAAAGGTCCGGTATTTAGGACATATCATGAGAGGAGTATACTATGAGATCTTAAGACTGATCATTGAGAGTAAAATTCAAGGAAAAAGATCCATCGGTAGACCCCAAAACTCCTGGATGAAAGACCTAATAAGATGGTTCGGATGCACCTCAATAGACATCTTTCGAGCGGCAGTCTCGAGGACAATGTTCGCCATGGGGATCGCCAACTTTCGTTCAGAGATGGCGCAATAAGAAGAAGAAGAAGAAGAAGAGAATGAACCCTAAATTGTTACAGTAATAAAAACAACAACAATAACTAATGCAAGTGTCATTGTAATAGTGCCATATGACCAATAACAAGATACTATATAGTAAGCCAAATTTTATTTATGTAGGAAAGAAAAAAATCACTTTACTGTTAAGAAAGATACAGAACATGGATAAGCATCATTATCTGATATCTTAAATAAAAAAGATGAGATATGTGAAAACAGTTTTCTCAGTAATGGTGTAAAGACAAGAGTTTGTTTATTGGTTTATTAAAACATTACTTAACATATTTCTGAAACTCACCACACTTGTGGGGAATCCAGATGTCGACATTTGCTCTCCTGCACTGGGACACGTATGCTGCCACAGACATGCATACTCCTTTATTGTTTGCAAGTTCCAGTAGACACATCTGATAGAAAGGGTTTGGTTCAACTTGGGAAAAGCACCGACGAAGTGGTGACAGTTGGTCTTCAAAATATGCTGTGCACTGATTACTTTCTGGCACTCGTGATTCCTCGCTGGTGGGTGAGTACGTCGGAACTGTAGTGTGATTCCCTGAATGGCACTGTGCAGATCCAATGTGCCAACTGTTGGCAAATGCTTCTACTGTATTTGCTATAGTTCCATTTGGAAGGGAAAGATCATTGCTTGATTCATAGTCAAAGGTTCCCAGCATTCCACCAGTTTTACCGAAATACCATCCAGACAGTTCAACTGTGCATATATCATAGTGCAAATTGCATTCTACTTCTATTCCGAGTTCGCTGTGAACCACAATTCTTTCTCCAGTACGTTTGATCCACGTTTGATGATCAACTGCCATGGGCAGTTCTACCCTCAGTCCATCAACTGTTATGTGTTTGTTGGAGCCAATCTCAATGTGATGGCCCTTAACCACTACAGTAATTGACTTCTTCACAGCTTCCCTGTTCTGGTACAAAGAAATGGAAATAAGAAATAGTATGAAATAAAAATGAAATGCAGAGCAGATATGTGGTAACATCAGAGTACTGAAAATATTTTTAACTTAATGGACATAACTTTCATATTTAGTGGCCATTCATTTGAACTAACTGATTATCTTGTAAGACTGAATGAGTTGAAAAGATGATCATGAATGGTAACTAGTTGAGGAAGTTGTTGGTCGTGGCTATTTCTAGGTGCTGTCCCAGCATTCTCCTATAGAGAATTAAGGAAGTGACAAAATGAAACTTAGATTAGTCAGTAATCCGACAAATATTTGAACTAGGTGCTTCTGGAATGTAAGTCTACATTATAACTCTTTCAACTTCATGAAATACTTACAGTTGAATTTAAAGTAACATTTATTAAGGAAGAATGTATGAGAAAGTGTGCCATCCAAGGATTAATTACTATGTGCAAGAAAAACTGGCCATCGGAAATACAAGATTATCAAATGAAGCCACAGCAAAAGAGGTGCAAAAGTTAATGAATTTGAATGTTATAATATTTTTTGAATAACAGACCAAGAAAATTATTCTTAAAATAAAAGACAGTTTATTTACAGACTTGATAATGTGCATCTGGCTAGTAAAGAATTCTGTAACATTTACTATCTTGAACATGTTTCTGAACAAACAAGAAAAAACAGAAATTGTTTAACTGGATTCACTGTCCTTAAAACTGCATATATTTATGGAAAATAATATATTGTAATGCAGTTCCCCTACCTCAGTCTTGTATGTAACAAATGCAGAGAATCTGCTGTTTAGGAAGTCATTTGCTAGCAGATAACTACATTCCCCTGCTCCTGTGAAGTTGTAGAATTTCTTGTCAAAGGTGATGTAGTTGTTGCCAACCACCATGCCATATGCTGAAAAAGGTGGTAGCATTGATACCACAGACATGTTGGTGGTGATGTCATAGAAGGTGTCCATCAGGTAATATCTGTATCTGTAGTGAAAGGAAGAGATTAGCTTAATTTCTTTCTTGTTGGTCAGATCCTCTAAAAAATTTCACAGTTAAGCATCTTATAATAAACTGTGAGATCCGACATCCTTTAAATGATAACGATGGAAGGCAAAACAAGCAATCCATAGAAAATACAGTAGTCTCTTGATAGTTCACAGGCAGATTATCCACTTTATAGATGGACAAGGCTTGTAGCATGCATGGGGAAAATGATAAATTTGTACAGAATTTGGTTGAAAGCCTGAAAGGAAGAGACCAAGACATAGATGAGTGAATTTTTAAATGGACTTAGGAAAACAGGGTTTGAGGGTATAGATTGGATTCTTCTTACTCAGGATAGGGGCCATGGCAGGCTCTTGTGAACCCTGGGGTTCCATAAAAGGTAGGAATTTGCGACTCCGTACATAATTCAGTGTCTTCTATTTGCTGATGACTTAAAGATGTTTCGTAGTATTAGTGATGTTGATGACTGCAGACTGTTACAGCACGACATCCTGTCCATACAAAACTGGTGTCTTGTTAATGGTAAGCAACTTAATTTAAGTAAAATGACTGTTACATCATTCACCCGAAAGACACACAGTATTTACTTTAATTACAAATTGTGTAACAACCTGGTGGCACGCTCCCATTGTATTAAAGATCTTGGTGTTCTATTGAACTGTAAGCTTTATTTTCACCAGCATATCAACTATATATTCTCACAAAGCTTAAAAATGCTTGGTTTGATTCACTATTGATAGCCTTTTGGTTTTGTACAGTACCTTAGCCTGTTCTAAAATTGAGTTTGCATTCGTTGTTTGGAACTCTACTGACTCTTTTAAACTGGAAAGGATTCAAAGGAAATTTGTAGCTCTATGTTACACTAGATTTTTTAATGGCGTATGTGCCTATAATTATGATAATATGTTAGTAAGATTAAATTTTTTATTGTTGCATTTAAGGAGGAGGCTTTTGGATGCGCTTTTCCTCATTAATGTTTTTAAAGGCAAAATTAGTTGCTCTCTGTTTTTGATACAGTTAGTCTCTGCATACCCACTAGGTCTATCAGAGACTACTCTACCTTTACTGTACAACGTAATTTCAAGGCTAATCCCTCTGCCAGATGTGTTTCTGCTGCCAATGCAGTCTGTAGGAGCATCAACATCTTTAACAAAGATCGTGTTTTGCTTACTGATGTCAATCAGCTTTTTAAACAATAATAATTGTTTTCTATTGTTTATTTAGTATAACATTTTATTTTGTATGTTGTTTGTCCAAAATTGAACTGATTTTATTTTAATTGTTATTTTACTTATGCATAATATTTAGCTCATTTACTCATTAATAATTTTGCAATAAATTAATATTGTAAATTTATATATTCAGTTCATTGTTTGTTTGCTTTTGCCTGTTGTCAAGCACTTTAATAAATTAATTGAATTGAATTAAATGTATGTTTTTAATAATAAAATATAGAATTTATGCATATTGTATCACGTAAAAGCCATATTGTATTGGGAATCTGCTACATAGTAAGTAAGATTAGTTTCTAAGATGCATCAGTTCAACACTTTCCAAAAACCATTAATAACTAACTAACTCCATGGTAGCAGAACCCACAGGTCCAGCACCGACACCACCAAAGCCCACCACTAGACTCGATCCTGAGCTAACTCCATCCATTTACCATCCTCACAGCCTACGGTCCGAAGATCCATCTTTAACTTGGAATTTTATCTGAGTAAAAATAAAATTTCCTTCAATTCCAGAGACCAGAAGACATGTGCGGTAAAACACTTGTAGCGTTCTGATTGACAGTGGTTTAATTTTAGTTTCAAAAATTTGGTATTAGCCACTATTCTTATATAGAGTACTGCCTCAGACATAATGAATTATTTGAGATTGGTTTTTATGCATGTAATGTAAATGTATCGTTATATTTTATAAATGTATGACTGGCTAATAATTACACTTACTTGTCAAGACTATTGATTTTATTAGCATGATCCTTGACTTGTTCATACAATTGCAGTTGCTCAAACTTTGGTAGTTCATTGAAACCATTCCATTCTATGGGCAACTTCTGGCTGTACTCGATCAGACCAATGTCAGGATGCAATGTTATACTTGGTGTGAGGCTCTTAGTTGGAGATCTTGCATCCATATCAATAGCATTCAGCAACCTCAGCAGAATCTTGTCCAAGTTTTCAATCCAGCTGTGTACGTGAGCCTTGAGATAATCACTTAACTTGTAGTACTTGAACACCCACTTGGCCTGCATCACACCATAAATGAATATCCGATCAACTCTGGTTATATATCAGATAATAATTAGAGTTGTTAACTGCTCCAAATTTATCAGGACACACACAGTTTTGTCTGTTCCATAGGAAAGTAAGCTTAATGAGTTCAATTCAGAAAACTTGCACTAGATTCTCTAATTCAGTGATATTCAACCTGGGGTACGTGGAGACATCTTAAGGGGAAAGTGAAATATAAAATATATATATATTATGTTATGATAAACATTGAATAATCAATAATATAATTTATTTTAGATGTAGATTATATACTATGTATAACTTGAATTATATGCCAACAACTTTGGGGGTACAAAATTGAAGAGAAATTATATCTGGGGGGTACGCGAACAAAAAAGTTGAATACCACTGCTCTAATTCACCAAGTACTAATGCTGATATATATATAATCGTTTAGTTTATTAAAGTGTCTTTATTTCATTTATTGAATGTGTGTGTTCATCTTTTTTGGGACTACTTTTACAGTGTTTAGAACATTATATGTACATAAAAATAATATAATACAGTCTGAAATAATTAAGAAATTCAAATCTATCCACCATCTCAATTACATGACTCTATGATCTGTGCCCATAATAACAACACTGGAAGAAATTTATTATGTATATTGCATGTAAAGATTGCTACACTATACACGTGTAAAGGAAGTCTACAAAAAATGTTACATACTGGAGTACTGAAGCTACACAAAAATTTCTTGGTGGATCAGATTTTTTGAGTTTATGAACATAAGTGTGAGTGTGTATTTTTGTTAAGAAAGATCAATGTTTCAACAAAATTGATATTTCACAACACTGTAAAGAACAGGATTTAGAAATTTGTGCAATTCAGCTAGAGACAAAAACAGCTAACTTCGTTATATTAAGCCTGTACAGAGCTCCATCAGGTAATTTTCAACAATTTCTAAGGGGACTGCTACTCTAAAGTATCTGTATAATCCAAAAACTGAATTTTTAATCTGTGGCGACATGAATGTAGACTATCTAAATGAAAACTGCCGGAAAAAACATTTAAACTCACTACTAGCAACATATAATTTGATACATACTGTAAATTTTCAACAAGAATTCAAAATGACTCAAGAACAGCAATTGATAACATTTTTGTGGATAGTATAAGACTTAGCTCAACTTCTACTTCTCCCATAATAAATGGACTATCTTTATGATTAATAATATTGCTGCAGATACCAACTTAATACCTTTGAAGCAGAAGAAAAGAAAAGTAAATAATGATACCATCATGCAGTTTCAGCTTCTTCTGAAGAATGAAACATGGGAATCTGTTTATGAAGTCAATGATACCAACAAAAAGTTTAACTCATTTTTGTGTACTTTTATAAATATTTTTGAAGCTAGTTTTCCTATTACATATGAAACTATAGGCAAAATAAAGAATGACTGGATTACGCAAGGAATAAAAGTATCTTGCAAGAATAAAAGGAATCTGTTTATCTACAGTAGGAACAGTAAAGACCCAAATGCAAGAGCATTTTATGTTAAGTATTGTAAAATTCTGAACAATGTTATAAAAGAGGCTAAAAAGCAGCATTACAGTAGACTTATAGCAAAATCAGACAATAAAATAAAAACAACATGGAACATAATAAAAAGGGAGACAGGAAAAATATATTTATCAGAACAGATGCCATCTCTTCTAATAAACAATGAAAAAGTAAATGATCCTGGAACAGTGGCTAATGCCTTCAATAAGTTTTT